GGCTTTTCTAGCTGGTTGCTAGGCAACTCGCGTAGGCCACCTGGTGGCGGTTGGTGGCGACTTCAAGAGCGCACGCCGTCGGCGCCATTTGTGGCTCCTCGATTTGCTGCTTTCCGCCTATTTCTCATTATGGCGGACCAAAATGCAGGAAAACATCTAAGAGGTAGAAGTTTGAAGAGCGACGCTGGTGAAGAAGTAGAGAAGGAAACGGATAATATTGGAGTGCAAGTGGCTTCATCAAGCCGACCAAGGCGTGAAAAGAAGAAGCAGTGGCCGCCCCGCTCGCCACCGCAATCGCCGCCTCCAACGAAGAAGACAGTTCAGTCTTCTTCAGTTCAAAATGAAGAAAAAAGTGATGTAAAGGAGGAATTTCACCCCACGATTGAGGTTATTAGTGGCAGTGGAGTTGATGGGCCTGTGTACCTTCAAGTCGAAGATGACATTGGGGATGACATTGGGGATGATGAATGTCCAGAAGGAACAACAGAGGAAGGTGGCAGTGGAGATCATGCAAGTGGATGTCATAGTTTTGCAACCGAGGATGCACTTGCACCTCAGAAAAATCCACAAAGAAAGGGACGTTCCAAAGGACAGGATTGGCAACATGTTTGTTCACTGGATTCAGAAGAAATGTTCCAGAAATGGAAGCATGATTCAGGTGACAAATCATTCATTGAATATGCATTTTGACTGGCATACATTTGCCATTAAGATAGCCTATTAAATTGTACGACCGCCTCAGCTGATGTAGCTAACTCAATTAAGATTAGAATATATATTAAGACGTCTTAATATATATATTTGTCTATTACTACTCAACTTAGATTAGAATGTACACTGAAAATGTGTGGGCACTTGCTGCATTTTTGTGAAGTATGGTGAAGACTTGCATGCTTTGATGGGAAAACACATTTTATTATGCAGAACTGGTTAGACTGTTCATTTTTGCCGAACCATTGATACAGAAGCAAAATAATTTGTTCCTCATTGCCATAGGTAATCATATGTGTCTTTCTTTATTTCCAGAGCAAAAAATAACCCCAGGAAGATGGGCAAAGAAGAGAATGAATGAAACCAAACTTAGTGTAAAGAGGTACTTCCATTGCTCTGTCATTGGCTGCAAAGCAGAGCTGACAGTCATGTACCCAAACTACAGTGAGAAAGTGGAAGTGCTCCACAATGGGAAGGCGCACTTCCATCCACCAAATCAGAAGAAGTGGGGCCTGTCTTCAGAAGCAAAGCAGGTAACACTTGATGTGCCACACACCACTCAACAGTGTCACCCCTGCCCAGCTAGGGGAAGGGTTTGTTGCACCCCACCCCCCCCCCCCCAGTCCCCAACCATAAGATTTTTCATGGGTAGTGCTTAACCCGCGTCCCTTTGGAGGGGGGGCGAAACAGCCCCCTCTCCTTTTCAGTTGATATCTGCCAAAGTATAGCAGATCCTGACACGAAGCTTTCAGGGCCCCTCTGGGCATCAATTTTAAACCTTGTGACCAAAAATCAGAAAAAATTGGTGTACTCTCCGCCCGGGCCCGGCCAGGTTAGGTTATTAATTCAGTCGATTTGTCATGAAAAAACTGCAGATAGATGCCTTTTTGGGTCTTAATTACTTCAAAATTTGACCTCACTTGACCAGACTTTGACCTGACCTCAACATTAACTTAATCCAAATATGGTTCAAATCATTGATTGGGTGTGCTTATTGAATTCTATGAATAAAGTGAACCATAAAATATGCATTGCACATGTCCTATTCTATATTTCGTTTTTGGTGACCTGACCCCACATTGACCTTTGCATGACATCACATGTAATGCATCTGGTCTTTATAGCCAAAAAACATGTTTGAGGTAGTGAATAAAGTCCATTCTTTGACAACTGTTCTCCAAAGCTGATAATGTAGAAACTTGCTTTTTTGTATTCTTGACCTGACCATGACCGGATCTCTGACCTACTTATGCAAAAGGCTCCATGGTTCATTCACTCACCATGTGCTGCGTCTTGATGTTTTAGTTTAGTTTAGTTTTGTGATAGTGAACTATTTTAGGCAGGCTATTCGGTGCCCACATCGTAGATACTTGTGTCTTGAAGTTCTCGAGATATCAAGGGTCAAATCCCCCTCCCCCCACACACACCGTTTAACGTACTCGGTAGAGTCCATTACCGATAGAGTTAATATCTCTCACAACCATATGTGTGGAAATGTGCGTATTTGATGTAAATGGTTTGCGTAATTTGGGTATTGTGTAAGAATTGACAGCGATTTCCTTTTTCAGGAGGTCAGACGGCTGTGGGAATCGGGTGTCCAGAAGCCGAGGTACATCAGAGCTTCTCTAGAAAAGCTTGGGCTGGGTGATTGCACAGTCGTTCAACTGAGAAACTTCCTGGAAAGACTGAAGAAGCGCAACAAACTTCCAACGCCTACTCTTCCCATCAACTCCCTGGAAGAGTGGTGTGCAGAACACTCCATTACTAAGCCAACGGCCGCTCTAGATGGAGACGTTGATCGTGTCTACGTTTTTGATCACCACACGGATGCTCGTTCGCGACAGTTCCGGTTCATTCTCAGTTCCAAAAGGCTCATGAAGTTTGCTGCTCAGGCATCAACGCTCAGCGTGGATGCTTCCCATCGTATGAAGTGGTTCGGCGCCCCCGTCCTGTTTGTTGGCGTCAGCGATGTCAATGGAATGTTCTTTCCTGTGATGTTCGCAGTTATCAGCCACGAGACGGCGGACAACTATTTGCAGATGCTGACCGTACTGAAGAAGTGCGTGGAGGCATCGTCAGGCACTGCATTTCAGCCCAGCTGTGTCATCGGGAACGGTGATCCCAATGTCGCGGACGCCGTGAAGAGCGTCTTTCCAAGTGCTGCAAGGCGCATGTGTTGGCTTCAAGTCAAGAAAGAGCTGAGTGCTCTGCTCAAACCCATTGACAAAGAGATACGAGATGCTCTAGAAAAGGACGTCGGCGTACTTCGACTCTCCTGTGACCAGAAGCAGTTCGAGCTAGCTGCTAAACTCATGCTCGAGAAATGGCGTGGGCTACTGCCTTCATCTGACCTCCCGGGCAGATTCGAAGAGCGGTTTGTGAAGCTCCATCCAGAATGGTACGAGGGCTTTGATGTTGCGTCACAAAGCTCCAACAGGGGCCTGATGCACGCCGTCAACGCGGTGAAGAACAGGCACACGCTGAGGGAACGTCTGCCACCCGAACGCTACCTCACTCTGGCACAGGAGCTGGTGCTTGAGTGGTCTTGCGGTGTGAGCGAAATCGGACAGCTGGAGCACAGCATCACACCCGACACGGAGCTCGTGAGCGACACTTACCAACTTCAGACCGATGAAAAGACCATGGTGGACATTGATTCGGCAATCTATGTCCCCGTTGGCGATCAGAGGGCCGCCACGGTTAAAGAAGTGGAGGCTTTTGAGAAGAAGATGGGTGGGGAAGTGAAGTCATTTGACGAGTTTGTGGAGGCCAGGATGTCTCTTTGGAAGGTAGTGGACACAGGAGACAAGTCTGACATCTCGCACATGCGCTGCTCATGCCCAAAGTTCTTCTCCGCGAAGTTGTGTGAACACATACTGGCGATCGGTTCGGCACTTGGTTTGGTTACGCTGCCACCGCCCACTTTGGAATCAGACCAGTGTGCCTCAGAAGGAAAGCGTAAGCGTGGACGCCCCTCGAAAAAGAAGAGTGAAACCGTGAACATGGTCGTGGACATGGACTGCTCCGATATGCGAGCCTTCATCGAAACGGGGGCTTTCACGATCGAGTGAACCTGGGAGGTCTTCAATTGTTCTGTTCTTCGATAGCATTGTCTTTTTGCGTGAAGTGTAGCATATGATTTCTTGATGGCTTGGCTGAAGCGTTTGCAAGTATTATCAACCAACCTGTGATGTTTCTGGGAGGAAAGTAGCTCAGCAGCATGCGTTCCACCACCCTTTGTTGTGACATGAGGCTTGAAAATGCGTTTTTGTGTGTATGTGTGCGCGATTTGTAGTGTCAAATGTCAATTTCACCTGCTGCTCGGTATCATCACAGCTGCCCACTTGGCATCAAGCACGAGTATACAATGAATGTGTAAAACTTGTCACCATTTGTAAATATATTATTTGAGCTTGAGCAGAACTATTGGATTGCTTCATGCTACTTGATTTTATTTCCTTCCTAGTACCTACCAAAAGTGAAGCTAGAGGTAAGTGTAGTTTATTGTTTGTATCTTGGGGCGACGAGCTGCAAACGGCAGGGCACCAGTGCTTTTTACCTTTGCTTCACCTTTACCTTCCCTGTTCGCATATCGGCAGTAGCGGCGGAACACCTTCAATTAGGGTGGGGGGGGGGGGGACACTGCCGACTTTTGGTCCCATTCTTTTCATGCAACGCCCATAGGGCTAATGTTAAAATGCCAAAATCAAAGGGGGCACGGTGCCCGGTGCCTCCCCGCTCCGCCACCTATGCATGTCGGTGGTTTTACGCAGGGGTTTTACGAGTCATTCGATAGGAGAGGTCGAGCCAAGATAGTTTGTTTTGTTGGGTTAGGCCCTTTCGGTCTGACAAGACCATTGCAGAGCCGGAAGGATGATAGGAGTTAGGGGGAGACGTTGGTCTGGGCAGGCACCCTAGTGAGTCGCCGGGGCTGAGCCCGTCCAGAGGACAGGCCACCCAGCCCCAAGGCACTCACTGCACCCGGCTACGGGGTGCGCTCCCTCGGGAGCAGCGGTGCCGCTCCAAGGGAGCAGCCCGCATGAGATAAAGATGCCTGTCCAGCCCGGAGGGGGTAGTGGCGTGGAGGAGAAGGATTTCTGTATCCTGAGGATAGAAGCACGGATAGGTGGGGAGCCAAGATACATATTTCACGGTATATATAGAGAACTTACGGTCGAGCGGCGCGAAAAGGTCTATCGAACCAATGACGTCACAGGACTGATGGATGATATTGGATCGATGTATGGAGTTTGTTGTTCTATAGCCTTGGTTTGTTAAAAGAAGAGGAAGGCGGCGAATCCGGCGTGGGGCTGCGTGACGAAAATTTGGAAGTACACCTATATTTGTAAAAAGAATAGGTGAGTATTTCCCTATTTAACTCTGTTATTTAACATTTCAAAAAAAATATTTAGTGTAAACTGTATCGTCCTTTCCAAGCAACTTCAGTCAGCTTGTGCAATTTGCGATCCAATGGTCGTTCCAAGTTCCAACCGCTTAGCCGGTGCGCTCGAACGGTTTCGGCTTCACATAGGTAAATAATTCGGATACGGATGAGTTAATTTCTCCCTGCATAGTATTGTAATTTTGGCTTGCTTTGCTGTCTTCACAACGAGGTTGTTGCCAATTAAAAAGCAGCGTTTCACTTCAGTGTTTCAAGTGACATGCGTCACATTTGTCTACGCGTGGTTTGATGTCTTTAATTCGTTTTTTCTTTTAAGGGATCAGGCTTTCAAAAATTGTCAGGAATAGGTATAGGTTGCACATGGTTGAGTTCCCCAGAATTTTCTTATACTTACTTATACTTATAGTATGCGGAATTTAGGAAGGCCTTACGGCCTCTTGGATCCGGACGTGACGAGCTATGTGTCAGTGTGTCACTGCATCAGTCGTTGAAGTGTAAGGTGTACTTGGCGTGAGCCCAGTGTTTGTCAAGCCTGGCCTTGAAACTGTTGACAGAGGGCGCATCGACCACAGCAGGGGGCAGAGAGTTCCAGTCGTTTAGGACTCGTATGCTGAAGGCGTTCCGCCGCACCCTGGAGACAGCTCTTGGTTTGGACAGTTTCCACTCGTGTCCCCGAGTTCTGGTCGTTGTTGCCGCGGTAAAGAATTGGGATGGGTCAACATCCACTCCCCGTCGAAGCACCTGGTAGACCGAGATCATGTCGCCCCGTCGGCGCCGATAGTAGAGCGATGGCAAGTCCAAGCTCCGAAGTCTCTCCTCGTATGGCAAGTGGCGGATGCTGGCAACCAGTCTCGTGGCTCTCCGCTGTACACGCTCAATGCGCTTCTGATCTTCTCGGTTGAAAGGTCCCCACACCACGTTGGCGTACTCAAGGTGGGGGCGAACCATAGTCCGGTAGAGCATTGGAAGTGTAATCTCGTCAATGACTCCGAAAGATCGTCGGATGACAGTCAGGATGTGCGACGCTCTGGCTATGACAGCGGCGGCCTGTTCCCGAAACTTGAGCTGGCTGTCTATCTTGACTCCCAGGTCCTTTTCCACCAAAGTCTGTTCTAACTGGGTGTCTCCCATGTGGTATATATGATTGGCGTTTCGAAGACCCAGGTGCAGGGACTTGCACTTCGACTGGTTGAAGGGAAGCTGCCAGTTTTCGGACCATCTCAGCAGAGCGTCGAGGTCTCTCTGCAAGGTTACAGTATCCGCAGCCTGACCGACACTTCTATAGAGTTTTGTGTCGTCTGCGAATAGCTTAAGCCCTGATGAGACACAGGCCGGCAAGTCATTAACAAAGACCAGGAACAACAAGGGACCTAGAACCGTCCCCTGTGGTACGCCGCTGGTAACTGAAACCCAGTCCGACTTTGTACCATTAATTGTCACGCGCTGCTGTCGGTCAGTAAGGAATGCCCTGATCCACTCGAGTAGGCGACCCCCAATACCACAAGATTGGAGCTTCAACAGTAGGCGCTGGTGGGGTACCGAATTGAACGCCTTACTAAAGTCCAAGTACAGGGCATCGACCGGGTCTCCTTCCTCCAGTGCACGGGTCCAATCTTCAACAGTTTCAAGAAGCTGCGTAGAACACGACCTCTTCTGTCTGAAGCCATGTTGCAGGTTGCTCAGCTGATCAGTATCGATGAGGAACGTCATCATCTGGTCACGAACCAATGATTCAAGGACCTTGCATGGCACGGCCGTCAATGTCACTGGTCGGTAATTTGCAGGGCTGTCCTTCACTCCCTTCTTAAAAATGGGGACGATCTCATCCCTGCGCCAGTCGCTTGGTAAGGTGGAGTTGTTCAATGAAGAACGGAAGAGGCGCGCCCATGGTTCTGCCATAACCAGTGCCGTTTCCCGCAGGATGCGAGGATGCAGTCCGTCCGGTCCCTGAGAGCTGTCTATCTTTAGGTTCAGCAGTTTCTCCCTGACCGCACCAGTGCTGATATCAATGTTGGTCAGTGGGGGTCCAGGGTAAACAGGTGGTGGTGCCGGCAGAACGGGGTCCTCGGTCGTGAACACACTGTGGAAGAAGTGATTGAGCAGGTTAGCCTTATCACGATCCCCACGAATCATCGTTCCGTCCTCTGCTTTCAAGTCCTCCACTCTAGTCTTGGTCCGTAGTCGAGTGCCTGCATACCGCCAGAACCCTTTAGCGTTCGTTCGTAGATTCGTCGCCAGATGTCTCTCGAAATTCGCCCGCAGGTTCCGAGTGAGTGTTCGGAGCTTGTTGCGCGCACGACAGAATCGGGCATAGTCGATCGTGTCTCTGGTTTGCATGTACTGCAGCCACAGTGTCCGTTTTTGCTTCTTTAACCGAATGGCTTCGTCATTAATGTAGATATTCTTGTTTTTCCGTTTTGACTTGGTAAAGGGTATGCAAGTGGTAGAGTGTTCCAAGAGTTTGGCCTTGATAAAATCGTACATGGCGTGCGTATCTAGAGACGTACTTGATGGCCACTCTACTTCAGACATTAATTGGTTGAGCAGTGTGAAGTTACCCTTGTTGAAACTGAGGTGGCGCTCCAAAGACTCAGTGGGAGGACAGTAGCATGCCACTTGGAACTGGAGCATGATGTGGTCGCTTGTCCCCAAGCCAGGCAGATATTCCAAGTTCTTAACCATGGCCTCTTCAGATGACAAGATTAAATCAAGCGTGTGGGGTGTTTCACCGAGCCTAAATCTGGTAGGCTTGTCAACATGCTGGTAGAGAAATGCATCGTTCAACAGGTCAGCAAACCCATGTGAACAGTGCGAGGGAGGGGCTGAGGAAAGACCCACTTGCCAGTTGATCTGCGGCAGATTGAAATCGCCTGCAATAATTACATGTGTATATCTAGAGCTGGTAGCCTGCTTGAATAGAGATCCAATCTTGCTTAGATCTTCTTCGGCAGAACCAGAGGGGCTTCGATAAATACAGCCAAGTAGAAGGACATCAGAGCTAGCCAGCGGCATTTCTATCCAAAGCTGCTCTCTGAATGTTGAATCCTTAAAAACAACTTCAGATACCCGGAGTGATGATTTGGCATAAATGCAGACCCCTCTAATACCACTTGAGCCCAGCTTGGTTTCCGAGGGGTCAAAGTTCAGATACATGACGTAGCCAGGTACAGACAAAAGGGCTGGGGATATTGGGTGAAGTTGGGCTTTAGGTATGACTTCATTGAGTAAGATGAAGTCTGGTTCGTTCCCCGAAATAAACATGCAAAGGTCATCACGTTTCTTCACAAACTGGTCTGCATTTGCATACAGTACCTTGAGACCTTCTTCATATCTTGGTCCTGCCAGCCTGGATTGTCAGCACCTTTCCTGATCCGGGGTCTGGCCCGTCTGGGCCGTCGCTGGGGTTGCCAAGGTCCGCCTCTGAGATGCAGCATGTTGCTGGGGTGCTACCGCACCTTGTGGCCCACTTCGAACGAGTTCAGCTTCCACTGTCCGAGTCAGGTCCAGTTTTCTTGTCACAAGCCGACCCTTCCTGATGGTGAGGTTCACTTCACCTGCATCTGTCCTCCTTCGTAGCTCCTCTCGGAGGCGTCTACCCTCTTCCCTCTCTTTCCAGGTAAGGTCAGGTGAAAGGTATACATTTTTCCAGAGATCTGTCGACCGTAGTTGAGGCGCCAGTTTTAGCACGTCACTTTTAACCTCAGTGTTTTCAAGTCCCACTATCAACAGCCGTGGCTTGTCCTGACCCGGCTTGCCGACCCTGTATGCCTTTGTTACTCTCACATTGAGATGCATAGCATCACGGATTACCTCCCTAAACTTTTCTTTGTCTGCTTCCACTCGTTCAGCATACAACTCACTTGTTGGCTCCGGGAGGTTATGCACTACAACATTCAGCTTGCGCTTCTCTTTTTCTAAGAAGTCATCAAAGACACCTGCTATTGCCTTCTCAGTGCAGAAGCTGGTATTCTCCTTCCCTTGGGATGGAATCGCTTCAAACTTTTTGGCTGCTTTTTGCATCACCTCAGCGCTGCCCTTGACGGCCTCTGCGTAGGACGCCCTATCATCCTGGATTTTCTTGAAGGAGTGCTGTAACATTGTCTCCTGATCCCCGATGAGTTTGGCATGAGCACGCATGACCTTCTCCACCTTTTCCATTCGTTCATCTACATGATCTTTCAGCTGCTTGACACCACTCTGTGTCTCACAGTGCTCGTGGTGACTGTTGGCATCAAACTTTGCAAATGCTGTTTGCATGAAATCAATCAATGCATCGAGCTTTGACTCCAGCTTAGAAAGCCTGTTGTCCTCGTCACTCTTCCCCTTAGTTTTGAGGCCTTGTTTACAGGCAGAACAATGCCAAGATAACACCTTGTGCTTCACAAGGGCATTGTAGCACTGCTTTGAAATGCCTTGACACTTAGAATGGAACCAGCGATCACACGTGCAGCACTGTACACCCATTTCCCCGTCTTTCACATCAGTGTCACAGATTGGGTTGCTCGGACCACCCTTGCACGAGTTTCTGTCCAAGTTTGGTACATCCGGATCAGGGCTCGTGTTTGAAGACCTTGAGCCCCACAGTTTATAGGCATCACTACTGAGCCTCCTAATTTTGGGAGCCTCATCCTCTGTGGAATCTGTTGCAAGTGAGCTCAGTTGGGGGGCTCGTGCGACAGCACCAGCCACTTCTTTTATTTTATCTGTCTGGTTTTCCTTGGAACCTAGCTCAAATATTCCACACGGTTCAGAAAAAGCACAGTTCCCTGCCTTACCTCCTTCAGCTCCTTCGGCAACAAAATCATTCACCTCGTTGCCGCCTCCACGTTTACCGCCGCCGGCCTCCACATTTGCATCCGACGGCGTCGATGGCGTCGCTGGAGATCCATTTGCGATCGTCGAATTGAGTGCATTTTCAGTTGCGGTCCGCTGTGGTTTCGACCTTGGAGGTTGAGGTGATCTCTGGACTAGCATCTTCGCTCATGAAGATACGCCGACAGGTGAAATTGTGCCGTGGGTACCTAACCTATGTGTGCACTGATTGGGTCCTGTGAGAGTGAGAGCTCGATTGGACACGTCCGATCCCCGTGAAAGCCAGGTTTGGATTCCCTGAGTTCAATAACATCGGTAAAAGGCACACCTGTGCCCTACTTTGTGAATAAATGCTGTTTCCAAATTGGCTCATTTTCAGAGGGGTGTTTATGGGCACCACAAACTGCTGAGTGTGGTGTGTGCAGTGTGTGCACCAGGCATGGGGGCAGGGGATGGGTAGGTGGTTGTGACTTTACAGCTGCGTGCGGTGGACTGTCTGCTGTGGCAAGTCCAGACCGGCCACAGCGGTCGCTGTGTGCGGTGACGGAAGGTTGACGTAGGGATGCAGTGGGCAGAGCTCAAGCTTACAGGCTGCGTGCGTTGCGACCGCACACAGGGCCTGTGAACAGCCCTCAGGAGACACAAATGATTTTTATTTAGTGCCCCTGTCAGGTAGGTATAGAAGTAAATAAGGTGTAGGCTGTAAGTTTTAGGATGGGTTTGGTTTGGCTGGATATGAATATTTAATTTTTGCATTTGGTACCTACTACCTACAGTTAAAATGAAATATTTAGATCTAAGGTTGTCTAGCATAGACTTTAACTGTGGCTGTAAAGCAGGCATTACACTGTTTTTTCCAACCAAGGAGAGGCGCTGTACCCAGAGATGCTTTCTAATCAAGTCAAGCCAAACTTAACCATACCTGACCTTAGTCCTTTGACCTAGTCTTACCTGCAACCTAAAACCTAAAACCTACCAACTGACCTGGTCAACTCACCTGGTCTGGTAGGCTTCCCACCTCAGCCATATGAATTGGACAGGTAGATTGATGGCAGTGAAAGGGAAATTGATTTCAGATAGACCTGCCAGCTCAAAATAAATGTTATGTTTCAAGTGGTTTGTGAGGCAGAGGTGTGCATCTGCAATACGGGGCCCTGTTCGCTCGCTGTTTTTATATCAGCTTGCTGTCGGTTTTCCCCATATAAGGAAGTTATTGCTGGCGCGGCTTGGCCTCTCATTGGTCTGACGAATAGACCACTTGAATTCGACCAATGAGGAGCCAAGAAATAGCAGCATGGTCGCAGCCTGCTGATAAATAAACGGGGTGCGGACAGAGCTCGGATGTGCTGTCGTATTTAGTGTTCAAAAGTTGGTCAAGTCAATCAAACAAGCAGCGCCAAGCAAGCAAGCAAGATGAGTCAAAAAGCAACGATGAAAATGTGTGTAGCGTGATAGGACATAGTGGTGGTTATTGTAGGGAAATTAGGAACGTGGAGGATTAGTGTCCGGAACTGTGGTGCATCTTACCTCCACTTCTCTTGACGAAGTGGAGGCACCTTCCACGGCAGAAAAGGGCTAAGGTTGGCATATGTAAAGGATGCAGAAGGTTGAGATGTTTGACTAAATAATGATTTGGGACAGACTGTAGAGGCGGGCAGAGTTCCAATCGCGGACAACTCTTACTCTGATAAAGCGGGCTCTTGCGTCAATCTGCCATCTCCTGCACTGGACCTTGAACATGTGACCTCGCATTCTAGTAGGGGGATCAATTATCCACAAGTCTGCAGGATTGATGGTACATTGCCATGGAAAATCTTCCAGCATTTAATCAGGTCAGCCCTGAGCAGTCTCTCTTTGACAGAGTACATCTTAAGCCCGCGTAATTGAGTTCTGTGGTTGGCATTCTCGAGTCAAAACACCTGGCGGGTCCAAAGTCCTTGGATGCTCTCTAGTTTCTTCAATTCCTGACGGTATTCTGCATTCCATACCAGTGACGCTTACTCCAGTATTGGGCTAATGTGCGACCTTAAAAACTTCTGTCATTAAGTCACCCGAACGACAAACCGTAGACTTTAGGAGGCTCTTGGCGAGACCTCCGGCTTTCCTGGTTACATCACGAGCATGCTCATGGAATTTGAGACTGTCGTCCACGGTAACACCAAGATCAGTCTGCGAATGGATCGTCACAATCGCTTTACCACCAAGTGTGTACGAAGGCGTGAAATATCGTGAAAACGGTGTTGGAACCTGAGACAAAAGCATTTTTTGAGGTTCATGGTTAGACCCCATGACCTGGCTGTGTCGTGCAGTGTGTTGATGTTTCGCTGAAGCGTGTTTTGGTCCGTTTGATACGAGCTACCTTTACCGAGTTGCATATAGATTTTCAGGTCGTCAGCGAATAGTTTACACTTACACGAGAGATATGTGGCGACTGGCGAGGTGGTTGATGTAAATAAGAGATAAAATGATCCAGTCGAGGGACTCCACTTAGGACTCCCCCTGGTTGGCTGTAAACATCTTTTACTGATACAGTCATGGAGCGGCCTACGAGAAATTAGTGTATCCAGCAGAGTACTTGGCCGTCTACACCGATACACTTCAGTTTATCAAGCAAGATCGAATGACAGACCACATCAAAGGTCTTGGAAAAGTCAAATAAAATGAGGTCCAATGTGCCCTCGTCTAGCCAGGAAGATACATCCGGTTGTATGTCAGGAGGAGCTGGTCATCTGTCGATCTCCCAGGTCGAAAACCAAACTGCTCATTGGTTAGAATGTTGTTATCAGTAAGGAAAACGTAAAGGGCGCGGGAGATGAGTTTTTCTAAGCACAAGGAACGGAGGTCAAGTTAATTGGCCTATAATTCAGCGCGTCATATCTCAAGCCCTTCTTAAAGCTGGGGATGACTACGGATTTCTTCCATTGTGCTGACAGAAGCCCCTCGTTCATGGACCGGCAGAAGATGACGTGAAACGGGTAAGCAAGATGAGTTGCACATGACTTCAGTAGCATGGGGTGAAGGTGATCTGGACCCATCGCAGAGTTTCATTTCATTTCATTTCATTTATTCCTTTTTCACCAATGGGCGTTACCCCAATGACAGATGAAGTCAGCAAATAAAACACTGATACCATCAGTTACCGTCAAGGTTGAGCAGTACCTATTCTACGTCTCGGGTGGTCAGGTCCCAGTGGCCAAGAGCTGCTCCGGATACCTGGTATTCGGCAGGGTTGTTTGGAACCTCGCTGTCTCGGTGACATACACCAGCAAACGAAGATGAAAAACACTCGCCATTTCCGTCGGATCATCTGTCAGACCTCCTGATCGAAGTCTCAGGGGACCTACTGTCGAGTGAAATATCTTCTTGTTGCGGATATACGCGTGGAAAAGCTTTGGATTTTCTTTCATCTTTGTAAGTATCGACCTTTCGTACGCGACCTAGTGTGAACGCGGTGCAAAGGTACGATACTCCTGGTTAACTTGGGAAAGTTGGTGAGCGATGTCCGGCAAATCGCAGACCTACGTCCGTGAGTGTGTATATCCCGTTTGTACCTGTCCCATGCCACCTAAAACCTACAACCTAACCCACAGCGCCTCTCCTTGGTTAGAAAAAAAAACAAGTGTGACGCCTGCTTTACTACTTTCAACCTAAAACTAACAGAACTATTTTTGAATATCACTATGTAATTGCCCTAATTGACCGAGGTATATGTGAAATTTGTGCAAATATCTGAAGGACTGGTGAGTGAGCCTAGTAACTTTTTACAAAGGGTGCCAGCGGCTGAGACGCCTGCTATGAGATCATTGAAATTTGAAACAAGGCTTATTCCCTGTATGGTGCATGGGCAAAAATTATTTGGTTGAGTGCTTGCATGTGTTTCGGAGCTACACTTATAGGTATGGACTATGGAACCAGTGTCAGTCTAAAAAAGATGGTAGCCAGCTCGAAGAGGTGTTTAGGGCAGCCGCCAGCCAGAATCCGGCCTCATTTTCTCTACTCTAAGGCCTGTCTTATCCAAGGAGAAGCTTCCAGTTTTTCTTTTATTCAGGGAGAGAGTTTCTTTCTCTGGTTCATTATTTCATGTCTGCTTTGTTTTCAGTGCTCTATTCATTCTTCAACCATGGCTGATGATCTGGATGTTCATGAGCTGCTGGAGGCGCCATACACAAAAAAGGTACGGATCACATAATACCCTCAATATTTTCATAGATTCCTTGATGTTGTATGGTGTGTGTGGTTAAAATACTTCACTTACCTATTGATGGTTTCATCTTAAAACTTTCATTTGCAATGCCATGATTGTGAGCTGCGCCGCCTGGATGATTTTGGTGCACCAGTGGACCTTGTGTCTCTGAAGGATAAAGGTGTTAAGCCTATGACCGATGTCACATACGATTGCCGACTTCTACCGGTGTTTCGTCTGTGTTTCAGATCCCTTGTCAGTTGTAATTGTTAGCGGAACCGAAGACCATTTCTCTTAGGTACCATCACCAACACCATCACCGTATTGTGTGCGACGACGCGTCAGAGCTCATGCGAGACCTGCAAGCCCTCCAAACGTTCTCTCCTCCTCCCCTGCCCACTCAGCCCATGTGCTGGACTCCTCATGATTGTGTGCATATGCTGGCTGGAAGTGTTGTCCTTATGGTAGTACCTATTCTAATTCATATTTTCGGATACATCCGGATATATGAATTTCGGATACAAGTCAATGTGTTTTAAGAGAAAGGTCAATTTGATGTCTCAAATGCAGATGAAAGTTAAACTTCTTTGAAATGTGGAGGCTCAGCTGTTACCTAATAAGGGTGTACCTGATCAGTTTTACATCTACTAGTCAAAGCCAAATGCAGTGGTGCAGCATGCTGATAGGTGAAATGCCAAGTGTGAGTGTTTTGGTATACCTACCCATAACATTTGCCGTTTGTGTCAAACCTTGATGCGAAGCTTAAATGAATGGTAATGCTTTTGTGAAAATTCCTGCATTTGGTCAGTAAAGTAAAAAAGTCATTTGAAATTTCAGATGTTTTATGTACCCTGTGTGCATCATTCTTTTTTCATGCTGTCATGCTTGATGCTCATTACCATCGTAACAGAATATGATAGTCAATGGACTTTGATGATCGATTCTTGTTACATTCTCGGACGTTGGTTATTGGATCTCTTAGTCATTTGCATAATATGTTGAGAGTAAGCAGGTAATGCACACACACACAATGGAATGCTGCAATTTTCAATGTTTTGATATTTTCTTCATAACGTTTTGAGTGTATATCCAAAATTTGATGGTTCAATCCTTTGTAAGTCAGTTCAATGACATATGTTAATGAAATAATTATTTAATATCAAGCATATCCTTTTATGTCCAGCTGCCTTCACCTTGGTATTTCACCTTATCAGTCTTTTGAATGCATTTTGCCCTCTGACTGTTATATGATGGTCGGCTGACTGATTTGGTTCACTTGGATAGTGTTAGACTGCTTTGCTCACTGCCCATGCCATCATGTTCTACCACTGAATCCAGGATATTTTGCAGATTGTGTGTTGCATTTCTTCGGCCTTATAGCGGTCGCGCGTTAAGAAAAGGTTTGTATGGGCCCGGGCGGGGAGCGCTCGCTCGCTGGTGCGCACAGCCGGCCGGCGCTGCCACCCTGCCATCAGCCGTTTGTCCCTCGCTGTGTCTGTGTGTACGCGCGCGCCGGGCCGGGCCGCGCGCGCTCTGTGTTGACTCAGAGGGTGATTGATGTGTGCTCCTCCTTTCTCACGCGTCCGCTCGCCGTCCGCTCACCGCGTGCTGTCCTGCTGTAGGACTCTGTCGACAAGGGCTACGAGAATGGCACCAAGAGCTCCGAGAAGTCCAAGAGGTGAGTTGTCGCTGTCTGCGGTGCTGGGAGCTAAGTCAGTCGGGGATGCTATGTTCATAAGTAATGGTAGATGCGTCACTTTATAATTATATTATCGTTCTTAGCCATATGATCCCGTAACTATTTATAGGTAGACTTGGGATCATTTTAAAACTATCTTTTAAAAGATTTCTTTGTTTGAGGTTTATTAGTACCTACCCGTTTGAAAATAAAAATGTAATGAAAATGGTGTGATGCCTACTCTAATGTTCAACGTTTGAATCAAGTTGCCACAATGCTGTTTTGGACGGGAAAGTTTTGCTCACGTATTTTTATGAAGTTGCAGTTGATCCTGGACCACCACACAATCACAGTGTATCTGCGAGTCTCCATACCAACGTAAAGTGTCACAGGATGTGTCAATACTAGTTCGACATTTGTACAGTAAATCGCTTGCTATTGATGCTTAAGTTGAAAGGTATTTGTATGCTGAGCCGAGTGTCAAGTTATTCGTCGCCGCGACCCACCCATTTTGACTTTCACTTTGATTACCATTTAATTAATCACTTCGCACAAGTTCACGTTACGCGGTATTTTTCATTACTGATCATTGTGATTGGCGTGCCTACCCGACGAGCTATCTTCTCGTTTGCCGTGCCCCTCACACTCCCGATTTCCCCGTGCCTCACCTTCGACCGTGCGCGCAGCAGCAGCAGCAGGCATCGGAGCCGCTCGCGCAGCAAGAGCCGCGACCGGCGCCGCCGCAGCAAGGATCGTGACCGCGAGAAGGACCGCGACAGTCGCCGGCGCCGCTCGCGCTCGCGCTCGCGGAGTCGCGATCGCAGCCGGCGCCACCGGTCGCGGTCGCGCGATCGGCGCCGCTCGCGGAGCCGGAGTCGGGACCGCGGTGGCCGCGGCTACGGCCGGTGGCGGGGTCGCTCGCCGCGGCACGGCGCCAGCGGAAGGAGGTGAGGGACGCGGGTGGTGGTAGGGGGGGGGGGGGGTAAGCTCGGCGTAGTGATCCATTTCCCATGTCTACAGGTTATGGATCCCATGACCTGTAACACTCGGCATGTTGTTGCTCGTTATAATGTATTTTCAACATGTTTGCGAGCATGAGCACTGCGGCTTCACAAAACCGGACAGATCTCGCTATCTATGGCGAACTAAACAAAACATGAGTTTGTTTATATGTGTGTAGAGCTTCGTTGTCGAACCATTCAGCAACTGGTCTAAAGTAAACATTACACATTTAAAGTAAATACTACTTAGGTAATCAAAGTAAGCATTACACATTGACATTACACAATCTCTCTATTGTGACGCCGCTGTTCTTCCAAATACTCCATTACGTTGTTATATTCAGTCACCTCTTCACCGATGTAGAACTCCGTTCTACTCGGTGATATTTCTTTGAACTATTCTAGCTGTAGTTCAATTAAGTGAGTCGTGCTTCTGCCGCCTGTTGACTAATTACCCGTAATGTAACCGCCGTGCTCTGTGTGCCTTCGTCTGCAGCAAGCGCATGGACATGACGCCGGAGGAGCGCGACGCGCGCACTGTGCTCTGCATGCAGGTGTCGCAGCGGCTCAAGACCAAAGACGTCGAGGAGTTCTTCTCCTCAGTCGGAAAGGTATGGCGAGCCCTCCTCTAACGTCCGTTCTTGTCTGCTGTAGTATTGATATGACACTCTTCAGCTTTATTTTTGAACTTGATGTAGCTGGGGATCAGATACTGGCTTGGTCGTTGCAGTATGCTTAGATTTATCCCATCAAATATTTGGTGACGATAACCCTGTTCAATGAAGCATAAATACCTAAAGAAAAATCGTCTCACTTTGATTTTATCAGCTGCTAATCACAAACTTAGAAGTATTACTTTATTTACTCAGGCTGGCATTCCAATAGGAGACGTAAATATACCGCGGAGCCACCGAATATTCACTGCCAGCCAAATGTCGGTTATATGGACTTCACCTGTCCTTCTCGCTGCCTTGCAGGTGACTGACGTGCGCATGATCATGTGCAACAAGACGCGCCGCTTCAAGGGCATCGTGTACGTCGAGTTCAAGGATGTGGAGTCGGTGCCACTGGCGCTGGGACTGACGGGCCAGAAGCTGCTCGGTATTCCCATCATGGTACAGCCTTCGCAGGTGAGCACTCATGGGGAAGCTGCAGCGGGAAGGTGGATGGTAGTGGAACTGAGTTCCGCCTCTGGATATTGGCCAGAGCTGGAGGTTTGTTCAGTGTTGTTATTCAGCCTGCTGCTTAAATGTTGCAGGCATGGTCGTATGCCGTAAATGTCGACACGCTTGTATCCACGGGCCACCAAAGGTCACCCACTGAAGCGTGATAAGTTTCCTATGTCACTCATTTCCCTCTAAACCCTTATTTGATTCTCAGTCTCTGCATCCTAGCTGTACTCTGTACGGCATTTACTTTTACATCTATATTCGTGCATGGTGCAGACGTTTAGCAAAGCTGGCGGCTCCGTTGTATCGCTGTACTTCTCCTGGTCTGTCAGACGGACCACTGACCAGTGACCACTCCTCAGTCACTCGCTAACCTGCACGTCCCGTTAACTCCGAAGTCCGAGCCCGTCCCGACTGACCGAACTTCCCTCGACCACCGCCAGGCTGAGAAGAACCGGGCGGCGGCGGCCGCCGCACAGGCCGGCAACACCGCGCGGCCTAACGCCAGCGGCTCCATGCGTCTCTACGTGGGCTCGCTGCACTTCAACATCACCGAGGAGATGCTGAAGGGCATCTTCGAGCCGTTCGGCAAGATCGACGACATCCAGCTGATCATGGACTCGCAGACGGGCCGGTCGCGAGGATACGGCTTCCTCACGGTGGGTGAAGTGGGTGCTGGATCATGGTAGAGAGTGCTGGCCGCTGGGAGCGTGTTGACTGACTGAGGCGGAGCTGTTTAGCATGTTGTCGTTAGATAAAGAATATGACGGGTGGGACTAAATGCTTACTTCGAAATCTAAGCTACGTTGCGGCATTGGCGGTTATGTGCGGCGTGTATGCCGCATGATTAGTAAGAGGCGACCACTAAATTAAAGACTCAAACGCTCCGACCGGTTCTCAATGAATAACACTGCATACCAAAAATGCCAACCGCTCTCGTCATAAGATATTCAGCTTTAAATAACTAGGTTATCTACATCATCATTTTGAACCAAATTAATACTTTCAACTTAACTCACTCATTCCTTGCTTTGTTGTCTCCAAACAGTCGTTCGATTGTCTGGAAATCGTATGCTAAATCCCGTACCTGTATGCGACTGGTGCATATAAAGGCCGATAAAAGAATTTGAATAGGCTCTGGCATGCGATTTCCTGGCTACCCAAAAAAGTCTGTTTCAGTCTTGCTATCAAAACATGACCTCGCCCGCACAGGGGGGGGGGGTTGATGCAACCCCCCTAAGGTTTTTCGCGAATAACTCGCTTAAAAAGCGGCTGATCGCGACGAAACTTTCAGTACCCTCGCATTGATCAATTTAACACCCATCCTGAAAATTTCATGACCCTGACCCAAATGACCTTTGACCTGTGACCTACTTTTCGAGACCATGTTTGGCCGGAACCGCGATTCAGCGTATGTCGGCTCGCATTAGCAGCGCGTTTGCAGTCTTTTCGTGGTTTCAAGCGTTCAAACATGTGATATGATGTTGCCCCCATGCATTAGGGTGGGTGTCAAGGTCACCTGAAGGTCAGGTCAGGTCATTGACCTTTGGTGACCTCGGTTCACTTTTTCGAGTTTGACATGTTTCTAGGTCAGTTTTTTCGAGCTGAATTCGAATTAAAGGAAGGGTGCCACCTTTTGGACACAACGCAGTTTTTACAAGATTAGCCTCACATGAACCTAAAAACCGGCTTCACTTACCTATGCTCGAGACGGTCAGCATTGAATCCGCACGTGAAGTTATCATTTGCCAGTTTTGCTGCCAGCATTTGGGCAGGCAAAAATCTTCAGCACTATTTCCTCGTCGTGTTAAGGGTATTTTATAAAACATGAAATCAGCAAAGGTATGTATAAAAGTTATACTTTTGAAGCATGTTTTATCATTTTGAAAGGGTATATTTTTTCTTTATGGTATACACTTAAGTTTTAAAATTTTAATTGGGTAGTTTTTCTAGTAAGTTGCATGAAGGGTGAAGGGTTCCATAGATCTCTTAAGCATTGTAAAGGAAAAACCTTTACTCGACTTATTTGATGTTCTTTTCTGATGTTCTTTCTGATGTTCTTTTGATGAAACCTTTAGTTCAAATCATGTTATCTTCTTTCTTTTTATTTGTTCATCTTTTTGTCTCAGTTGCGCCATCAATGCAAATGGCAGAATGATATGTTGCCATGACAACAGGATATGCCAGCCGTCCTAGCTGCCACATCAAACGACCTTGAGTTGTAGTGGTGATATAAACAACGATCTTTTTTTGGCCAATGTATTAAATGCAATGTTTCGGTTTTTTGTATATTGTGGACGCGCTAACCACGTCTAAAAATTCAAATAAGTAAAATAGATTCATAGAACAAAAATTTCGGAAGGTGGCACCCTTCCTTTAACCCGCGAGTTGCTGGGGGGGGGCGTTAAACGCCCCCACTTTTTTCGCCGGGCCATAGCATAAAAACGGCGCGCCGCAGGCGCGCCAAATTTTGGGTACCTGTAGGGAATTGATTGAAGTTTATTGTGACAAACTTTAAAAAAAATCGGTCGGAAAATTTTTGAGATATCGAGGTTTTAGTGACGTCATGATTTCTCAGTTTTCGACCAAAAACGGCATATGTTCAAAAAATCATATAAAATCACAGAATAGACATACAGACATGCTGTAAACGCCATTAGACTGCCAATACCATGATCAATCAAATGGCTATCTTTGATTATTGATTATCGTTCCGCATTTTCCATAATCTTGAACTGAATCTTGACAATTTTTCGTGACTACTTCACGACCATGATACATGAATTTCTTAAATTGAACTTTTTGAGCCAAACACGTACACATATGATAAAATAAATGTCCCCATCGTGTTCTTCGCCCCAAATTACCTATAAAACATGTGTCACAGGCTGCGAATATCAGTTTTGATTTTCGGGGATATGTGCCTATCCGGTTGACCTGACCTTGACCCTGACCTATGCTTGACTGACCCCTACATGGAGCTGACACTCTTGTAGGCCTTATAAGATGGATTGTGCACCGTTTTGACAGAGTATATGGCGAGAGGCGCCCATTGCGAAGTCCTGAAGTCCATGCTACTGAAAGCCCGATTTCAGGTGTTTGACCTGACCTTGACCCGACCTGTGACCTCAAAATTCAACTTTAAAGTACTCATCTGAAGCGTCTCGTCGCGCTCTTTCGTTTGCCGCCACGTGCGTTTCGCTGCGCCTATTGGTTCTCGAGTTATCGGCTGGGGGCGTTTAACGCCCCCCCCCCAGCAAACGGTGGGTGGCGAAATACCCCAGCAACTGCCGGGTTAAGCAACCACATGAACGTTTACAAAGTAGTTTTGGTGCCTTCGTAACATGTTACGAGGCTGTCAGAGGCGGTTGACACCTACTACAAATACCTGGCAGGACCTCTACTGGTTGACCTGACCTGACCTAACCCGACCTGGCCTAAATGAATGAAGACATCATCTGTGATCAAAACTAGCATGATATTCGTGATCAGCACCCCGAAAAACCCCATAGCAGCCACACTACGACGTTCTAACAGGTCCCAATTTTCCCGCCTTTTGGGTCATTGACCTGACCTGGAAGGTCAACCGATAACCTAGGACCTTAAAATTGGGTATCATCGGCTTTCTCTCGTCACGGGCAACACGCTCGTTTTTTCCGCGAAGCTCTAGCTTGATCAGGAGCGAAACGGCAAGGGGTTATACCTTATACGTTCGCGGCTGAGTATTAATTTGGTTCAAAACAATGATGTAGATAAGTTAGTTATTTAAATCTAAATATCCTATGACGAGAGCGATGGACATTTTTGGTATGCAGTGTTATCCATTGAAAACAGGTCGAAGCTATTGAATTTTTAATTTAGTGGTCGCCGCTTACTAATCATGCGGCATACACGCCGCACATAATCGCCAATGCCGCAACGCAGCTTAGATTTCGAAGTAAGCATTTAGTCTCACCCGAATATGACCAGTAAAACGCCTTTTGGGCGAAGAACGAACGAGCGAGATAGTGAGCCCTGCACGTGCGGAAGGGCGAGAGGGTACTTCCAACGGGCTTGTGCAAAGCACCCTTCTAACCGGTGGCTAGCGGTGTGCCAAATTTGAACGCAATCGGCCCAGCCGTTCCTGAGATCTGGAAGCGGCATTCTGCACGTGCAAACGGGGTCCAAACTGACTTTTGCACGGCACCCTACTAACTGGTCCCCAACCGTGTACCAAATTTGAGCGCAATCGGCCCAGCCGTTCTCGAGATCTGGGAGCGCCCCCTGCACGTGCGCACGTGCAGTAGCACCCTAACCGCAACACATGGGAATGCATTGTCTGGTGGGTGCCTACCTGTATGCCAAGTTTCAGCGAAATCGCCCCAGTAACTACCGAGTTATTGAAATGGGAACAAATTTGGCACCTCTTCTTTTTGCATTTTGCACGTGCAGTGGGGGTCACTCACATAGATCAAGAATATCCGACCTTTGGTTGAAGGGATGCAGCTACCCTACAAAAATTACCGCAAGACAATCGCCCAAGCGGCTGCTGAGATATGGGCCTCTCAAAATCACTACTTTTGCAAAACAGCTTGAACACCCTTGACTTTTCACGTGGCACGTGCCACGACGGTCACTGAGATGTATCAAAAGTAGTCAATTACGGGGTAGAAGGAATGGGGCTACCCAGCAAAAAAGACCGCATGCCAATCGGTCCAGCGGTTGCTAAGATATAAGCCTCTCAAAAGCGTTACAGGCCGGGCCGGGACCCTAACCGAGTTGAGCTCATACTGAGATTTTTCCGTTATATTGGAAAGACTCACTTCGCTCGCTGCGCTCGCTCGCTCGTAACCATCGCAACGTCTAAACTAACTCTCTCTCCGTTTCGTCATTTCGCTTTCAGTTCCATAACGCCGAGGACGCTAAGCGCGCGCTGGAGAAGCTGAACGGTTTCGAGCTGGCCGGCCGGCCGATGAAGGTGGGCCACGTCACGGAGCGCTCCGAGGTGGCGGCCGGTGGACCGAACCTGCTCGACTCGGACGAAATGGACCGGTCGGGCGTGGACCTGGGCGCTACCGGCCGCCTGCAGCTGATGGCCAAATTGGCTGAGGGTGAGTGTCAGTGGGGAGACTGCATGCTGAAAAAATGAGACTGGTAATAAAGTTGATATGATTCGTAATTGGCCTCATGTCCGTGGTAAATCGGACGCCCATTAGATAACTAGGACGCGTAATTATGTGCTGGAAGGAAAAAAAAACTAGCCAGTGCATTGCTTCCCGGCTGCTTTCCTGATCATTTCTCTTTTTTAAATCAATTATGCCATTTCTGTCCGGCAGGCACCGGTATGCAGATCCCAACCGCTGCGGCGAACGCGCTCAACTCCAACCAGATGGGCGGCATCTCTGCCCAGTCCAATATCGCGCCGCCCATCGCCACCCAGTGCTTCATGCTCTCCAACATGTTCGACACTGCCGCGTGAGTATGCGGGGAGGGAGGGGACGGAGAATAGAGGGTAACAGGCGGGCTAAGCGGGAATTGGTCATGGAGGAGATTGCGGCCTCTTTTACCGCGAAGATACATATTTTCTGTGTTTTTGTTGCTCAATACTTTAGTTACTTTGGTTCATTCTTCTTTTTTTCATTGTTTATCATGTAGTTAGATTGACATATCAGTGCTCGTGTTGTTGGGTTCTTCTGTTATCTTCGTTCCTCTCGTAGACTTTGTAACAGCTTAATTTAAAACTAGTCCGTTAAAATGAAGAATGTCTGCCAGTCTTAGCACCTACATTTCCTTCATCTTCCATTCTCCCTTAGTGTTAAACTTGTCAGCTCAACAACCTCATGACATTCCCCATTCTGCACCACGTCTTGCAGTGTGGCACAGAACCCCAATTTCGACGCCGAGATCCGCGACGACGTCGTGGAGGAATGCAACAAGCACGGCGGCGTGACGCACGTCTACGTGGACAAACAGTCGCCGCAGGGCAACGTGTACGTCAAGTGTCCGAGCATCGCGTCGGCGGCCGCCTCCGTCAACTCGCTGCACGGACGGTGGTTTGCTGGTGAGTGGGGGCGTATGGAATGGTGAAGCGAATGTGAGGGATGTAGAAGACATGGGGTATGATGAGCTCAAGTCTTAGTCTGGTTGATTTGTAAAGCAGCGGTTATTGGGGGAGGGACTTTCGGGCGCTGCCTATTGCACTTAACGAGATTAGTAAAGTCAAGAGACGGTTAGGGTCCATATTACCGTAATATTCAAAACTGCATCCTCGGGAGTTTATCTTCATGGTCGTAGTGCAGTCACTTACGGCAGTCGTCATTTTGATTTCTGCCAAGCATATCCTCAGTGAACTGAACTTCCAGGCAGTGACCCGACCTCTAACCACTGCCCTCCTCTCCGCCCCCAGGCAAGGTGATCACTGCCGCCTACGTACCTCTCATCAACTACCACAGCCTGTTCCCCGACGCCATGGCGGCACAGACTCTGCTGCTGCCGCTGCGCGCACAGCGGCTCTAGCCGGCCGCCGGTCCACCGGTCAGCTCACTGTCCAGAGGGCTGGCCAGTTTCACTTCATCTTCGACCGTCCGCTGGGACGCTCTGCGGCCGGCGCGATCGAGTCTGATCTGTCCTGACTAAACCTGACCGACGTTTGGTCGGGCGGGAGCGGCCCGGCTGGTGAGCGGGACAGCCGCAGTCTCAGGGCCGGGACGGGCCGGGAGCGGCGGCGGCAGCACAGGTGGGTGTGGAGACTGAGAGAGGGTGTTCACAGCTAGAGTCGACTCACCACGAGTGGTGCTGCTCGCTCCGTTCCATCGAGCCGTCAGCCGCGCCGGTCTCTCTAGCCGCCGCTCGGTGCTGTTCAGGAATCTGTGTGAGCAGTTGAAGGCTGCTGACGAACATGGTCGGAGAATGGGGAGCTGAGGAGACCGCCTACACTCTGCCGCGCCCGGCGGTGGGAGAGGATGGTCCTCCAGCTGGAGCGAGGCTGTCCTGGGGTCGCCAGTGCGGGGTGGGAGGCTGTGTGAAGCCGGGTTCGCACACGAGGTGTATATTTTACCAGCTGGTACACATGACACACAAACACATTTCGGTGACCCGAGGTCAGGTCGGGTGCGATTTTGGACTGTCCGTGAGGGGCCGTGCACATAGGGACCCGGGTCGGCGCAGCGGTCCAACAAAAGGCAGTCACGCCGGCTGATCAATTGTGTATGTGTGTGTGCGCGCGTGTGTGTGTGTTTTAAGGAGGTAGTATTCATTCTGTCATCTTGCATGGTATCAATAAATCAACAAAGCCACCGCGAATGTTTCAAGCTAGCCGTTGGTAGCATCAACACTTTAGGTAGAACTCTGTCCGCTTCAACGCTATCGGTGGCTATAGCTTAAGAAGTTGTGTTAGCTGAAATAGAAACTGTCGAAAAATCATGATTGAAAATTTACAACAAAAAAAACATGAGCCAATATGTGCGCAAGCACATTTGTGAACATATTTTGTGATGTAGATATACACTGTTCGAATACAAAATGACATTTCAATTTGTCTTCGAAATGTTTCAGCTTGCTGTGGCGTGATCGAATCAGCCGATTTTCCGCGAAACACTGATGTGGCATGGGCTGCTTGACACATAAATTCTCATCCAGGAGTATTGGCATTTGTTGGCACACTGATTTAAATGTGGCATGGCAAGTAGCCTTCGCAATCAGTACCAGTGTGGGTACAATCAGGAGTACTGTTTCACCTTTGTAGCCGTTGAACATCGGTGGAACGTGCGTCATCCCGTCAACATCCTGATAGCTTATCGGTGCTGAAAACTGGGCTCCGCAACGTCGTAGTAGCTCGCGCTGACTCTATGAGGGGGCGTAAAACATGGTTCCCTCACTAGAAACCATGTAAATGGATGGTTCGTTCCTTAGCCCCTGAAAAGTTTTGTGTTTCCTGGTTCTGTTACTCGTTAGATTATTCAAATGTGTTTCATTGCGCTGGTGCCTTGCGATAAGCCGGTTCCGGCCTTCAGGCAGCGGGAGGCGGGCAGGTATTTGCGCTTTGTCGCGGTATCGGACACGCGCTATCAGCTCTGTGCTATCTGCGCTGACACATAGCCGGCAGACCGATAGCACGGCCCGAACACCGCTCAAACTCAGTCGCCACAGCCATCGGCGAAGCATCGCAGCCACCCTCGGGTGAAAGTAGAGCGATCGGGTGAGGAGAGGAAGAGGGGAGAAGAGCGGGGAGGATCAGCGAACAAGCGAGATCTATCCAGGTGAGTTGTGGTTATGGGGGAAGACTGACTGGTGGGGCCAACTGTCACTGATGTGAGGGTTTCATCTGATGCCTTGATGCTTCGCTTGCGTACTGATATGCAGCTGCATTTGAAATACAATAAATTACTGTGAACCTATGGTTTGACATTATTCGCTGTTTTTTTTTCGGTCCATCCGCAATCTGTATCAAATTCTGAAGCTAAGCTTCGTCTCACAGTGAAAGTGATGGGACTGAGGACTCATTTATCATCTTTTTAACAGCTCCGTTTGTTTGCCACAGGTCCTCAAGATGATGAAAAGGGGCTACGACGATGAGGATGAGGTGCTGGACTCGGTGAGTAATTCGCTTCGCCACGAGGGCGGTGGGTTTTTATCGCTTTCAAAGGAAAGTCAGAAGCAATATTTGCGATCAGTTTCAAAAGTCCCTCGCAGCACAAGTAGAACTAGGCTTTGTTGGAGATGTCTGTGACTACTGACTTTGTTCACCCGTGTCGCGGCTCTGATGTGTATGTACCGGCTATGCTCACAAGAGAGGAAGTGGCAGGCAATATGTCTGACAAGTAGGCTGAAACATGATACATGCGGATGTAAGTTATTTTAAGCTGGGTTGCATTAGCTCCTACACCTAGCTAGATGATAGGAAAGTCCATCTGTTGCACAACGTTTTATCATGGATGATAAGACTAGAAGGGTCTATCAGTGTTCGCTAGATAAGACTCACGGGACATATGTAGTTTAGCTCCAATGTGTGTACCTCCGGTCTGATGCAGCTCGCAAGCTAAATCTACGGTGTTCGTATGATCATTGTATGATATGTCCGTATTCTGTGAGCCATTCAGCTCGATAGCAGGCGTAGCTACCTGTCTGAACCTTTGTTTATCGTTCGGTATTCGTTGTTTCACTTCGGGCTAAACGGAGCGGTCGACATCATAAATGCGCGAGGCAAAGCGACAATTTCGAAACACTCCAAAGTCCAAATATGTTCGACTCCAAATACAAAAGGCAAAAACAGAGACGCAAGATTTCGGATATGAGAGCTATCATTTTAGATCATGATATATTTGGCAAAAGGTGTGCTAAACTCACGCTTAAGTGGCTAAGATTATGGGGCCATGGCAGGTAGAAGGCGCGAAGATCGGAACTGCACTTTTGACCGAGGAAGTTAATGGGTGCACCTGATCGTATCACTCTTTGTAAATCTGCTTCAAAGGAAAAACGCAAAAAGACCATTCTGAACTAGGTGTGAGGACATTGAGAAATGGCGAGCCTATTGAAATCGTACTCAAATGGGCAATGCTGTTCAATGACGAACGCCGTGGAAAAGGAAGTACCCGTTACCAGTGGTGTGATTATTTAGAATAATTTGTATCAAGTTCATCACATCAAAGATGACTATGATCGACAAGCTCCGTTCTCACATGCCACACATAAACTTTAAGCATCGACATGTTCTAGAACACTTGTATTCTACGCTGAAAGTGAAAGTTGTATGGGTTGTTCTCAACTCAGCGGTGAGTGACTCTAAACTTGGTCTAAACTCTGCATTGCTCGTCGAATTCGTTTTATCGTGCATGCTTGCTAGTTGCGATAAACTTCGTCGCGGCGTCATCCAGTAATATTTTCTCCAATGGAACTCTGGACTCGCGTCTCCGAGCCATTTCCGCTGCTTTTACTGCTTGAAACCGACGACACAAGCTAACAAACCTATCTGGGACTTATAATAACGTCAATTACACCTATTACGTCCGTACATTATGCCGCTGCTTCGTTCTAATCCACTCCCCCATTCCCTGATATTCGACATGAATACGCTCCCGCGTATGCCAACCGCCCTTCTGACGTCTCTTATCCATATGCTGGCAGTTTTCGAGGATCGGTGCAGTGCCGATCATCATCCTCACCTACCTGGGCTTCTCGCTGCTCGTCTCCGGCTTCGTACTTACCGTGCTGGCCTACGCGCCCACCGACAGCTACCTGATGGTCATGATCCAGGACATGGGCATAGCCGGCTTCGTCGGACCCGTGGCACTCGTCATTGGATGTGAGTATGTTAAGGACGTCGGCGTTTTTCTTTCTTTTTTTACGAGAGGTGGGAGCTATGCAGGGTGCTTATGGAATTTTTTTACTGGTGCATTTCATTCAACAATGTAGTTTTGTTTTATCGCTAGTTTTAAAGTAAAGTTCCGCTGTTCCTTCACGTTCCGATCGATTTCTTGGCTCTCACCTGCTAAAGCTGTTTATTTGTTTGCCCACTGGTAGTCGACGTTCTGACATGTCGCATACACGTTGGCATCTAAAACTTTTCATTGCCCATTGATGGGTATATTTCCGTCATGTGTAGGCGAGATTCTGCAAGGCATTCGACTGATACCTACGCTCTCCCATTTTCACAGTGATCATCTTCGTCATCGGCCTCATATTCTGCCTCTGCGGAACAAGGGACGATCAGGATGACTAACCCGGGCAGTGCGTGGAGAAGCCAGCTATCAGGCAATCAATGACAACCGTGGACTGAAGATTGTGCCGCGGTAGGAGGGGTTTCGTCATCTTGCATTCATCGCATCTTACTAGCCTAGCGTCTCCCGTTTGTTTTCCCTGGTTTGGACGCACGTCAGAAGCTCATTGAATGGGTTGTGGCCTGCGGGGATAGGTACTTAATATCAATTATGGAATACTGAGCGATTGAGTCATGTCATCCACTATCGCTGTGCCTCGCCTAGAGGCTTTTGTTCAAGACCCGTACCGTTTGGCACTCTATCGTTCTTAATTAGATGCCTTTTTTAATTATGCCAGCTGTTCCCTACAACAGCAACGGAACTTCAGCATCACTCATAGATCAAAACGGATATGCTTCGATGACCGATGTGTTTCATGTTCTTAGTTTGACAGGCATAGCGATATGCGCTGGTCAAGGCATTGCATCTTCTTGTGCTGAAATGCTGAGTGATTTGCTGCCTACTTTTCCAACCGGTTACGGACTTTATTTGATTGTGAAGTCGAAGTTTCGTTTAGCGTCACGTGTACAAAGTTTCTGTTTATAACCGTTTCGTAGCCAGCCTCTGTGCCGTACACGTTTTTCATGTATCTCAGAGTCAGAACATTCGATGCTGCTGTTACTTGTGTTCACAAGTGAACCGCAGTGCAAGGCTGTAAAGACTGTATTGAGAACCGCAATGAAGATTGATAATTGTAAAATCGTTGACTTTTCCGCTCACCCATCGTCTCCTCGCTGTCGCCGTTTACTCAGTGGGTCAGAAGACGCGCATGTAAAAACGGCGATTGTGTTGTAATAAAACATCGACACCTCAAAGAATGCCCATGCTTTTTGTGATGGCACAGACTCGAGCTACTGGAACGGTGTATGTGCTTGGAAGCTATTTATGGCAATAAATGGCCTCTATGTAACATCGTTGTCTAGCGAATGGATGCCCTTTTCCTACGGCGAGGCTTCGGGGGCCTTTGATTAATTTTCATTTCAACTGATATTCTGAAATGGCTCATGTAGCTGCCTGCACTGCACCTAGACTGGAATTCCATCGGCTTTCCGCGCCTTGTGGCGGGATTCAGGTCAGTGCAGATAGTGAGGGGTGGTCAGTGGTCACCCGCCCCTTTTAGTTTCTTGTACCGAGAGTCGATAGGGTTGCTGTTGGAGTGGGCTGCAGCCATGAGATCATCACCGGTGCCCCAGTTGGAAGTTCCTGCCGATTCGCGATTGCTGACTGCTGAGAGCTGGTTGTTCTCGAATCTCGATGGACTGTTCACTGTTCACTAAACAAAGTGATACTAGGCGGGCAAGACCCAAGATTCCTTTACTGCTCAAGACCAGGCAAGACGAAAAACGGACTGATTTCCTTCATATGGAATCGTATGATTATTACAGTAATGGCGCTTTTAATACATTAAATATTCTTCGGTTGCGAAAGGCTGTGTTCTATTATGAATGTGAGAAACAGACTCAGCTTGTTGTCATAGTAACTGACTAAAATGAAATGTTTTTGACAGTTTTTCCTCCGAATTAGACTTAGGATACAAAACCTTGCATTTTTCACAACTTTTTCCAATTCTTGAAATAGCTTTCTTCATTAGTCAGTGAACTTGACAAATGACAAATATCAAACCATATAGCGTCATTTCAAAAACAGCTTGCACATTATAAGCGAACAGGCTGGAAATTTTCTGCGTGCGCGCGCCAGGATCGCATACGACTTCATGTATAAAGGACTATAAGGTAATTTTGTATTAAATATGTAGTATTCGATGGTATTTTGGGTTGA